AAAACAATGTGTGCAGTGCAGCCCTGACCCTCATGCAGACCAGATGATGCCTATTACACATCCATACAAATACACAAATAGTTGGGGATATTATTGTGGTGTTCTTGTAAAGCCATGCTTCACTGCAAAAAAAAGCATAGAATCCACGTGCCTGAACTGCTGCTTTTTTCTCTCCTTTTTAATTTCTTTTGTATTTTTTTCTAAGCTGAATATGTTTTAAGGAAGGCTTCTGGCCTTCTGCCTCTCTGACACTTCCTGGGGAAGCGCAACCTGTTTTTACCCTTCACACAATCACTGCTTTAGATGTGGATTTTGGATGCAGATTTTCACTTCCAGTAGGTTATTTTTCCGATGAATTCAGGGAAAACTAATCCCCACAGTCTCTGCCTGCAAAAGGTCTCTCTGTGGTGAAATTGGAGCTGTTCCCAGCGATTTATTAATTAGTGCAAAACACTTTTTTTTCCTCCCTTCTGCCTTTTATAATATCTAACGCTCCTCAAAAACAGCACGGAAGGGATATTGAACAAAATCATGCGTGTGAATCCAGCTACCAACAACACTGAAACAGGAGCACATGTGGGAAGAGGGGACACGAAAGGGAGTGCGTGGTGATGAAGTCAGGACAGCTCCGGCAGCTCCTCCCAACCCGGTGCAACTCTTGGATCCGCAGGATCTTGTCTACCCACCGTACACCGTACTTAGAGCCCCGAGTGCTTGTTGCATAGATGTTGGATCCTTGATGGATTTGAGCTTCCCGCACAAGATTCCCCCAGTGCTGCAGGCAATGGGAGCAGGAGCCTGGTGGGCTGGGTGACCACCACAGGGCATGGACGGGGCAAGGAAAACAGCAGAATTATCTCTTCTCTACCAACTCCCTGGCATTTGGTTGCTTTCTTTGCTCTCTCGCATTACGATTCTACTCTAAACTTAGTCTTGAGCTCATCCTTTACAAAGTTCCAGGGGGAAATGTGAGAAAACTTGCTCCAATAAAGTGAGGAGAATGAAACCCTCCTCCTTGCTCGTTCCACACGTTCCTCCTTCATCCCGCTCTGTTCTTTCCAAACTGTYGTGCAAAAAGAGCTAGAGCTGAATCAGTAGAAATCCGAACTCCTTTTCAAAGGGACCCAGTTTTTATTATTATTTGTCCACCATCAGCTRTACTGTAGAAATATTCCTTTTGTGCCCTGCTAAATGTCACACGGTTATTTTTAAAACGTGGACAATGTCTTTCGCAGAAACCTTTCGCACCGTTATTTTAAAGATCAAACATCCTTTCACCTGGGAATCGCGGAGCGGCCGGTTTCCCTGGAAACATCATTGGCTTCCCGCTCAATGGAACAGCAAGATCCTTTTCAGGAGCTGAGCGAGCGCTGCGGCGGATCCGGGGCCCGGCAGGCCCCGAGCCACTTCCAGAGCTCTATAAAACAAGTTGGTTGCCAAGGTGTCTTTGTAAYGTGTAAATGAACCCCTCATAAATTGATTTTTAATTCTTCCTCTTAAAGGTGCGCGCCGCTTGCATCTCTCCGAGCGAGGTGGGGAAAAAAAAAGAGAAAGAAAATGGGGTATTTCGCACGAGCCTCGGCGTTTATGTGAATTTGCTTTTGGAAGGTGAGGCTGAGCAAACTTCTTGGCATGTCCTCGCACCGCAATTTCCCTCCCCAGCCGGCGAAGCAGCACGGAGCTGAATTCGAGAGCGTGTCGTTTAGATCCCCTTTGCCCTGATGCTGATAAAAAAGGCACATCACCTCATAAAGAGCCCGGAGTAAAACTAGGCCAACGTGTTCCCAGCAGTCATTTCCCAGACAGGGAATGTCATCGCTTTAATTATTTAATGAAACAACCTCGCTGTGGACAAAACCACCCCGTAGGTCCACACCAGCACTGACTCAGACACGTTAAGCTCTACGGGAAGGGAAAAGAGGAGCATTTGCAGGCACTTGGAGGGGGATGAAGTGATGCCTTAAGCCACAGGACATCACAAYGTCCTGCAGAAAGAGGGGTCCTGGTCCCAGAAGCTCCAGTCTCTGCACCAGCGGTCCCTGCTAGAGCCCAACCTTCCTGCCACAAGAAAGCCCAAGAGCAATTCCCATATTTACAGAGTCAGGAAAGGGGCAAGCCCRTCCCCAGCCCTCACCAGAGGCAACTAGTTGTGTTTCACAAGGTAGCAATGCCCTTCTTCCAGGACACGACCATTAAATACCCATCATCGTTAATGCCTGTTGCTCACCCTTGATGCACAAAGATCCATGATGAACCTGGTGAGACAGCAACCGTGTCATTGGCTGGCAAGCCCTCAATTTATTTGTATATGCCAAAAACTTAAAAGTTTGAGGTTTTTTGAACTAAATATCATTGGATACAGAACTTGATAGAGGTAAATGTGGTCAAATAAAGCTATTAATGTAATGGGAAGGTAGGATCACGGATATACCTATACACAAGCAGCAATAGCACATGCTTTCACACTGTTCCCTGTGTTAAATCTTCCTCAAAGGCTTATCAAAAGCAAATTTGTCTCCTATTGATTTTGGCTCAAGGGAAAATGACTCTTGCCCCTCCACCTCATTCCAGAAGAACTGGAAAGAAAAATTTGTGTAGAATCAGGCAAGATCACTGAGTGTGAGCTGCGGAATAAGGAGCCAGTGAGCCACAAACTGGAAAACCTCATGAAAGGAACTTCCAAGTGATGGAGCTCCCAGGTCTCTTAGAGAGGTGCAGGTGCACGGGGAGTAATTCCAGGTCTACCTCGTTGAACACTCCCTTTCTCCAGGCCAACTGAGGACACAGCTGCAAGTTGTACTGGAAGATGCCTCTGCGAGTCAAATGTGCGGACAGAAACATGTGTACAACAGACTTTCAACAAAGTGACAGTCACTTGCTGTTTACTCACAGGGATAAATGGCAGTGTCCCAAATTCCAGAAGGAGAAACCTCTTGTCCTAGCAGAAGAGTGTAAACATTAAACACAGGCCAGGACTCCAGGGCATTTCCTCCTCCCCAAATTTCTATGAAGTGAAGCAGGCCAAAGAGGCAACCCCATTTACCTAAAACCACATTGGAAAGCTAACTGAAATGAGATCTTAAGTCAATGCACACAAAGACTAGTTTCGCCTGTAATCTAAAATACTAACAAAATCCTCATGCCCAGTAAGTAGGAAAATCTGACCTGGTTTGTGGAAGTCAGCATAGAAAGAAGTTGTGTCTGTTCAGATTATTCAATCAGCAGTTACTTAATCAACTTAATTAATAACTTAATACTTAATCAAACAGTTTCCCTGTGATTAATCCAGCCCCATCACTTGCTCACCACATGTTTGGGGTACCTGGACCTTTCACAGAAGGCTTTTAAGATGACCAGATCTTAGGCTTTGGGGTTCACTTATTCCAGCGAAAAAGCCTTCCTATTAATTTAATAACACATAAGTCATGTTATTAAATTTTAAGCTTATAAATAAGCTTATATACAAATTATAATTATTAAATTATTAAGCTGACAGAGCTGTGCAGTTCACAGACTCTTGCAGGGGTTTCAGGGGGTGACCCAAGGATTTCTGTTCTCCATTGCAGCCCATGTTGGAGTCTCCTATGACAGTGGAGATGAGAGGAAGGACAGCAGGGGCAGCACTAGTGGGACACCAGGCTTGTTCCTGTGGGACAAGGAGGCAGAGAAACCAACCCGTAGTCACAGAGCAGGCAGAGAGGCCCATGCAAACTCCACAGAAAGTGGATTTCCAGAGAAAAGGTCTATAAGCACAAGGGTGGCAGACAGGATCAAGTCCATTTAGAGCCCCCCAAATCAAGAGTGGGGATTTTTATTTTTTAATCAAAGGTGGGGTTGTTTTATAAATCTCCAGGAGAAGGAGGAGCATTGAAAGAGACCATTGCCAGGAATAACAAGCAAAACCATCACAACTGCAGAGAAGCGGGGCTAGGATTCCCCAGAAAACACCTTTAATTTGCTCTTCACCCTAAATGTGAGGCCACATGCTCCTTTGGAACAGAAACTAGTTAGAGCATTTRTGGGTTATGCCCCATTTTGCAAGCTAGAGTATGCAGAAGAGCAGATCCAAAGCTACATAAAAAATACTAGCCAAAGGCCATGGATAGYGGGAAAAAAAGTCACATGGAGCGACTGAGAAGGCTGCCAAGCCGAGGAAGGTGTCTGCAGAGCAGCTTTAGCTAATTCAAACACTTGGCCTGTACCAACACTGCAACCTAATCCCAGCAACGCTGATAAGCAGCGATATCAGACGGGAGAAAAGTGACCAGCTGCTCTGGGTACGAGGGAGGAGGGGCACGAGCAAATGCAGGCAGCCTATACGGGCCCCAAACACTGGGATCATCATCAGGAAAGCTCCACAGCACTGGACAGAGCACAGTGCTGCCCAAGGCCATGCTCTGTGCATGTGAATGATGCCAGGGACCTGCCTGCCCYGCATGACCACAGCGAGGGCAGAGCAGGGCCCAGGGCTCTGCCGCCAGCTCTGCCCAGCTCCAGACGTGTCTGATCACAGGCTTGTCTGAACACAGAAAAGAGGAGGGAGGAACTGAACCCTTYGACAGAGAGTTGTGATCCTGAGAAGTTCCCAGTAACTCTGGAGAGAAACTGAAATGTATTAAGACTTCCATGTCTTAAGAGAAATGCATTAAGAGACTGAGACTCTTGGGCCAGTCCTAGCAGCACCTCAAAGCAGGAACAGCCAAGGCTGAACAAGAAGCATCTGCCTCTGGTGGGAACTAAGCAAAAGGAAAATTAAATAGCAAAAATACAGCTGTGAAACTAACCATGCAGGCAAAGCACATTGTGGGTAGGGGTCTACTGTCAGCAATGCAACTGAGCTAAGGATGGACCAGCACAAGACGTGACTGGAGGGCAAGCAAAGACTCTGCTGTCAGTGGCAAGCAGCATCCTTTGAGGCAAAGAAGGAATGACGACAAGGACACAGAAGTCAGCATCAGGAAGCCAGGTGGAGCAGACAACTTCTACAACACAGCACTAACCTCATAAACCACACAGCACCGAGGAGCACGTCTGGATTCCTCCTCACCAGCCACGGGAACCTATGGAAAAAGTTTATAGGCGACATAGATAATCTCCAGCTTTCAGGATCATGAGAAGATGAATCACAAGTTGTGGAATATTAACAGAAGTTGCAGCAAGGGAGACACACACAACACACACACACACACACACACAACAAGGGAGAGAAATCTCTTTGAGAAGCTTGCCCCATGCTTCAGGTATGTAGGAAACTCCAAAGAAACGAGGTGTCTCATCAATAGAGGAGTGACCACAAGTCACAGTGCAGACAACTTCATGAGGAAACAGGCATCATATGGAACCTGCGGCCCACTCAGCTCCAGAATCTCTTTTCCTTCCTTCCTGCTCAGCTCCAGAAATTACTTCATTTTTCCTTCATTCACTAAGAGCTTCCCAGCCCCTGCCCAAACCTTCCTGCTCATCCCGCAGGACAGAGCAAAGTCTGGCACCTATAGACCATGCTTACTGCTATACATTACCCCCCATCCCACAGTGTTTACTCACCTCKTCCTCCTCCTTATTTTTCACATGTCCTTGAGGGAAAGACTGTGCCCCACTTGCAGACGCACTTCRCTGGTTTAACAGATTTTAAATGGATCATCTTTAGTTAAAACAATGCTTAAAGAAAAAAAATATATGGCTTATAATTGGCTAGTGGCCCCAGCAACCCAAGTGAGATGGTTCAAGGCCAACATGCTGGTCAGGGCAGTAAAGAGGGTATCTCTGGTGAGCTGTGCCAGGAAACTCTGACCTCATAAGTGAAGAAAAAGCTGCTTTAAAAAGGCATTGTGTTCAGATGCACCAAAAAATAATAATAAAAAAGACAACATGTCCTGACTGACAGTGYGGCTGTAGCATTTTCATAAAGAACTCCCTTTCTGAAGGGCTACTTACRTTTCCAAACATTGGATGTTAGCTCAGAAAATTCTCTCAGCGTGCCAAGCTCCAAAATGCACAGCAATGGGCAACTCAAAGGCCCCTGGTTCTGCCTCGTGGCCAGTAACTTTTCTTCCCTTCCTACAGGAAAAAAGAAGCCAGAATGGCACTCATAGAGCACTTGGGAGTGCCAGGATGCTCGTGCCATCCTTGACAGGGATGTCAAGGGTTGCTCCCACGCAGGTGGAGCCCTGGAGCGCTCCAGCCTCCCGCAGATCCCTGCAGGGCCCTTTGGCAAAGGGAGCCCTGGCACAGACTGACCAACGAGCCYGGCTGATGGGGAAGGGCAAGTGTTCCTAGACACGTCGCTTTGCCTAATTTCCATCTTATTTCAGAGAACGCCTCCAATTTAAAGCTCCTAATAGACTGCAGCTATAGATTGCAGTTAAAATCTTAGATTAACTACTAAATCCTGAAGCTCGACAAATGAGAGCCTCGGTTAAAAGTCAAACTATAGATTTCAGCAGAGTCAGACCATCATTTAGAAAGCTATCTGAAAGAGTATTAAGACCTTTGAGAAAAACTGTTAAACCTTAAAGAATAAGCTTAAATTCTACTGCTCAGCCAGTCTTTGAGGTATTTAATTTTAAGGATATACAATAGTTTTTAGCTGATTTTTAAGACTGCAGCTATTTAAAACATGTACAGAACTTATTTTCTAAAATCCCACTTAAGTTATCTAAGAGAAGCAACTTTTACTACATTTCAGAACTTAGAATAAAGTTTAGAGTAAACCCACAGAATTCAGTCAGATTAATTGCCCATAAATTTTACAGCATAAAATTAGTTTGTGCAGGTGCCGCATAAGAGAGACTCAGTTTTTCTGCCCTGTGCCAGCCATAGGGAGAGCTGATTAGTCAGTCTTTGATTAATTACCTGCTGTGTAGGAGAGCCAGGGTCAATCCACTCAATTAGGTGAAGGTCTGGTGGAGAACAGAGATGTAAATCAGAACCTACTGCAAAAGCTTCCATGCAAGATGAGGATATAAATGTTTCCCTCCAAGGATCCTTCTCCCCAGAGTGGCCTGCGCTCCAACAGCAGCCATGAGTGGATGCCTGGGAAGGGGTGTAAGCAGGAAAACCACACGTGATGACCTCCGAGTAGCACTGCAACTTCCAGCTACACTCATCTCTTAGGATTACTTGAGCCTGACGCTGGTCATCTCTGCAGAAAGCCCCACAGATCCTTCTTCCAACTTGTCCAACCACCCATTGAGCCCATGTCAACTTATTGCAGCTATATCCTACACAGAGATCTCTGCAGGGATCTCTGCAGATCTATAGCCACTATAGCCTAAAGATCCTCCTCACTTTGTTTGCTCCAAATCTGGCTCCTGCTCACTCCTTTTGCTAACTCTTCTGTCTTGTGGGGCAGCAAACACCTACCCAACTCACCACTATTTTTCGTGCAAACCTGCAGACATCTGTCAATTCTCCCCAAATTTTTCTTCTTTTCCGAGTTTATAAATTTTAGTCAACAAGTCATGCCCAGTGCCAGAGATGTCCATATTTTTGACCTGCCTAGCTGCCTATTCTGGACTTTTTTTCTGGTCCTAATGCATCCTTTGCGAAGGGAGAGTGGCCAAAACTGCACGCAGTACTGAAAGCAAACTGGGAGTCCAACTGCAGGTGCAGTTACGTTTTCTAAGGTAGAAAACTTCGCTGACAAGTGGATTTCAGCTAAAGGATTCTGTAACCTTTACACTCGAAAACATATTTAGGCGAGAGCAACAAATAACCTCAAATACTTCACAAGTAGAACAGAAGTGTGGAAAGAAAGGGCAGCTTCCATGATCACCCTCAGTTTCACATGTGGCCAGCACAGAAATCATGGGTGCAGGCGATTCCTGATCTTCAGGAATCAGGAAAGGCCACCGTATCCAGAGGACAAGGCAGCCAAGCCGAGGAGATCTGAGCCCAGACTAAGAGATCTCGCAGCTGGTTGTACTTGTGGTCTGGCAACCCCTGCACTGCTGAGGGAGACATCAYGATAAGACTCAAAGGAAGATAAAAATCGGTGGGAAACTGTAAATCCTGGYACATGAAAAGCATCAGAACCACACAGCAAGTGAGGCTGGTGGACAAATGCTGCCATGGGTTAAGGAAAGTACAGATTAAGCTTAGTGGATCCTATCACATTGTGGCAGCGTCCATAGGTCTAAGGGAAATTAGAAATGTAGTCAGAAAACAGTAAAAATTTGAAACTAGTTTCCCCCCACACTGGGAAAATATCTTGATAGGGTGATAAAAACACTGTCTTTTTAGACATTACAAAGAACTAGTTAAAAATTCATAATAGCTAATTCATAATAGCTAATCAATGATTGCTAAGTGGAACACAGGAATGGTTATTCTTCAACAACCCTGCAGAAGAGAAAAATCACCCCAAAATGCCCTGCAGTAAACTCTGATTCAAAAAATGGAGAACTACACAAAAAATCAATGAAGCACTTAAAAGAGCTAAAAAGATGGAAGTACTTCCAGGAACTATGTGAAAGTACCATAGCAAGGCATTGGAATACCAACGTTCTCAATTTAAAATATTCTAAAAGAGCAAAAAAAAGAAATCAATTTTTTGTTTGTGGTTAAACAGCATATTAAGAAAACTGCTGACTTAAAAGAAAAAAAAAAGGGAAAAATAATATGCTTCAGAATGTGAATGTCACGTTCAAAGGAGGAAAAGGGAAAAAAAAGAACATGAACTTCTAGCAAGTTAAATGGAGAATCGTAGGAGGGCAGACCAAAAAGCAACTGTGGTAAGCAATTTACGCAAGGCATAAAAATTTAATTACAATTCTTTTTCAAGTGCTGCAGAAATAGGAAGCCTTCCAGAGAGCTAGCGGGGTCAAAGATTATGGATGTGTGTAAGGTGCCCTCACTGATGATAGGTGTCGAGCAGGAAAGCCACAGTTTGCATCTGTTACCTGCAGAGAAGCAGAATTCAGCTGGTTTCACTCAAGAAAAAGCAACCACCACCAACAAAAAAAATCATCTCAGTGACTCTCCAAGTAGTTCTTTGAAAACAGCCCAACAAGGCAAATAAAAATTATGAAAAAATAGGCAAAATGGTGAATTAAACAGCAAATGGTATGGCCACTACAAATCCATGCTGCATTTGCTTTCTTCAGTGTCTCGAACAGACCTCGATACAGCCAGAGCAAAGAGACAACCAGAGATCTGGAATGGCTTCTGCTCAATGAAGAAACTTCACCTTTTCAGCTAGGGAAAGAGGCAACTGGGGGAGATAATAAGAGGGTATAGAGGCAGCAAAWAAATCATAATTTGATACTACTCTTTTCTAGAAAAGAGCTACAGGGCACAAAATAAGATGTAGGGGTATCAAGTATAGAATACAGTACCCCAAAATAATATTTCTTGCCACACTGTTGAAAGAAGTTACAGAAGTAGAAGCACATATGGGTTCAAAAAGCAAATAGATAAATAGAGCATGGGTCCATCATGGACTATTGACTATAAAAGTCATGCAGAAACCTCCGTCTCAACGTCCCTAAACTGTCGATTGCTGGAAGCTGAGAACACACAGTCAAAGTCTCTGTTTCTTAAACCCTTTCCCTGAGCACCAGCAAGTACCAGGGCTGTTTGCTTTGAGGCAGTATAGCCGCCCTTCTGGCAGTGCACCATAGATTGCTTTAAAAAATGTTTTTTTTGAATAAAAATGTTTTGAGCAGCTTTGCCTGAAACAGTCAATTAGAGGCGAGGGTTGGAAGAAGGCAGGAGGGCAGCGAGAAGCACCCAGGCCAGCAGCCCCCTGACAAACCTGCGTACAAGCTGATGTGTCTGCCCCTTTAGCTCTTCATCTCCACTAGGGCCCAAGCTCTCGTGGTCCAGGCATCCCACACCGCTTTCAGCAGAGATCCCCACTGCACTGAGAAGAAGATTCACTCATGGGTCCCTCATACACTGCCACATTCCCACCTGCAGTGGGACTTGAGGATGCAGAGATCTATGGATGTGAACTGCTGGGGCTGAAAATAAATCAGGATGCTCTTTAGGAGTCGACCAGCACACGGTGACAACCAGCAAGC